CACTTTGTACACAATAAAAGTTAAATCAGCACTGACAGCAGGGGTAGGGAACTGTTTTTGGGTCAGGGGCCACAGATCCACAGAAAAATCAGTCAGTATCCATGCACAAGTGAGAATCAAACAAAAAAAAACCTTCACTGATGTGGCTCCCTTAACTGAATTCCCTGCATTCTCCCTCTCACGCCAGAGCTCAGGGCCCAGGCTAGTAGATTTTGTGTGCTCCAGCCCCGGGGTGGGGCAGCAGGAGGGTTGGAGTGCCAGCGCAGAGTCCCCAATGCTGGGCAGGGCCCTGAGCCTCAGGGGCTGGATCAGGCAAGCCCCATACCTGACTCACAGGATCACCAAGCAAAAAAAACAACAGCTTTAATAAAAAAAAAAAGAACACACACACACACACACGTACACGTAGAGGAATCAGGATGGAGGGAAAAACCAAAAGAGACTGAAAATAATAGTTAATAGCCCATATGAATGTCTAATTTCACTCACTGGGCATAAATTCTAAGAGTACAATATGTTACGCAATATACAGGAAATGTCATTCTCAGCCAACCCGGTAGTGAAGCAATCTAATTATATTAATAAATTATATTACCTAATTATGTCAGGAACTTTACAAATACATGTTAGATGTGTCACTAACAAAAGGAAACACAGGAAGAACGTGTGTATTTCTGGCTATTAAGTTTATAAACAGTGGAAAGTCCAAGTGGCTTCCCTAATAACACTACATCTAATGCAAGGGTTCTCAAACTTCATTCTATCAGGTCCCCTTCTGACAACAAAAATTCCTACATGAACCAAGGAAGGGGGACTGAAACCTAAGCCAACCCAAACAGTCTGAGAACCACTGATCTAATGGATGGCTCTTAATCTGTATTGTGAGTTTCAAGATTTTAGGAAACATATAGCTTATAGTAGTAGGGGTATTCTTCTCTTATCCCTAACGTAAGCAAATTCCACAGATGACTACATTGATTCTCATCGGTTTACACTTCTTAACTTTGAATATAAAGGCTTGTCATATGTAAGTGGTCAACCATTTGTTTGAAGCCTGTTAAAAAGATATTTATAAATTATAAGTGAGGCTTTTCCAGCATTGATATGGTATGGACAATATCGATAAGCTGACACTTTGTTCTAAATAGCTTTGTAAAATAATACTTCTATTGCATCTAAGAAAACACAGAAATCACACAAAACATTTTAGCTGTACTTTAACTTTAGACTAATGCCTAATGTGTAAGTCATAAATATTTAATTATCTTTATGTCTATTAGCAAGAGAAAGGGAATGATGAAACTTAAGCCTTAATTCTGCATTATTCTATTCAACAGGTGGTCTGCCCACCATTGGTTTTTATTACAAGCTAGTTTCTTTAACCTATGTATGTTTTTCAAATGGGAGGCAATGATTTTTTAGTTTGTTTTGATTTGTGTGCCCCGCCTGCAAGGTTGGAGCACCAGCACCGGCTTCCGGGGCAAGAGGGGGAAACAGCCTCAAGCCTCCCTGCCAGATCCAGCTCCCAGGGAAGAAGCAGAGCCAGAAGCAGCTCCATGTGCTGCCGCTTCCCTGCCATTCCCTCTCCTCCGGATGAGGTAACAGCAGCGCACTGACATGCTGCTTGGAGGCTTTCCCCGCTGCTACCATTGGCCAGAATCCAGGAGACCATCCCTGGGACACGATGCCTGAAAGCAGCATGAGTGTAAAAGCAAGTAAGTGCCCCTGCACCTCGTGCCCAAATCCTGCGCCTGCTCTTTCCCCTACCGAGACCCTGCACCTCGAGCCTGCTACTGCACTCTCCCCCTTAGACAGAAACCTACCCTCACCCTACTCTTGCACCCTCCCTTGCTCCTGCACCTTCCCTCCAGGCCAGACACTGCACCTCCTTAGCTCTTGCCTCTTCCCCACTGGCCAGACACCCTACTCCCAGCCTGCTACTGCACCCTACCTCCCACTCAGACATGCACCCTCACCCTCTCCTACACCACACCTCCTACCCAGATCCTGCACCCCCATCCCTATCCCACTCACTGGCAGCTCTATCCTGCACATGTAACCCCTCATTTTTGGCCCCACCCCAGAGCCTAGGGGTCCACAAAATCCACAAACCCTGGAACCCCAGAAGAGTAAAACTGGCCTATGGGAAGCTCTGAACCTCAGTCCTCCCTGTCCCTCCCCTTTACCCCATGGGACTGGAGCACCAGAGGAGTGAGGTATCTCAATTGGGAGCCACATCAGCGAGTGTTGGGGGGTTTCGGAAGAGTTTTTTTGCTTCTTACTTGTGTGGTCCCCAACTGATTTTTCTGTGGGTCAGTGACCCCTGACCTAAAAAGGTTCCCTAGCCATGCCATAAAGAAAACATTGACATCTTTTGTTTTGGACATAAATTAATATTTTACTTTATTTAAAATTAAGTTTGATAAACTATCATAAGAAAGTTAAATCACTTAATGTGTTTAATTTAAATTAAACCAGTCTCCCTAGCTGCAGCACTAGCAAAATGGCTCGGACATAATTATGTAATTAATGGCAAGTTTTCTTTAGCAACCTGTGGTCTGTGTAAAGGTTTGCACTGAGCCAGGTGGGCCATAGGCTAAAATGTTTGAGAACCACTGTATTAAAAGAATTCCATTCTAAATTCCCTTCTAATGGAAACAATTATGTCAATATTCATTCACACACTGCACTATCCATTATGCTATAAATGAAACACAGCTTACCAACTTTAGAAGAATTACAGCACCTCCTGTACCCCCAAATTTAACAATAGATGCCAAATATTCCCTTTGTGAGGCTTCTCCTTTCTTCCCTTGTTAAAGGGAGGGCTGGTAATACCACATAAGTTTGCCTCAAACTTCCCATTACAAAGCCCTATTTTTCAATTCCTTATAACTTTGCCAGATTGTGTCTCTTTCAATGGGCCATGCTAGTTAATGCTCCACAGACCCCACAAAATTTTCTTCCAAACTCTTCATCCTTTCCCAAGCTGCTTAAACAAATTTAGGCCTAAATTCTGTAAGGCTACGTCTACACTGGCCCCTTTTCCGGAAGGGGCATGTAAATTTCACTCGTCGTCGTAGGGAAATCCGCGGGGGATTTAAATATCCCCCGCGGCATTTAAATAAAAATGTCCGCCGCTTTTTTCCGGCTTTTAAAAAAGCCGGAAAAGAGCGTCTAGACTGGCCCCGATCCTCCGGAAAAGGGCACTTTTTCCGGAGGATCGGGGCCAGTCTAGACGCTCTTTTCCGGCTTTTTTAAAAGCCGGAAAAAAGCGGCGGACATTTTTATTTAAATGCCGCGGGGGATATTTAAATCCCCCGCGGATTTCCCTACGACGACTAGTGAAATTTACATGCCCCTTCCGGAAAAGGGGCCAGTGTAGACGTAGCCCAAAGGTTTACACACATTCTTAACTTTATGTATCAAGAGTAGTTATAGTGAAGTTAACAGGGCTACTCATTGTGCAATAAAGTTAAGCGTGTTTATAAATCTGTAGGATTGGGGTCTTTAATTTGCATTGCTTTGTGATCATGTCAGATATAGTTTCCTCTATTAAATACACTCCTTTTCAATCTTTACACCATTTCTGCATGAATACCATCAATATTATGTTCCTCACACTCATTACTTCTCAAGTCATACACCATCGGTTTTCCCCCCTCTCATTTCAATATTAACTGCATCACTTAAGTAAATCTCCTACAAAATTAATTTTAAAACATAGTGTTTCTTATGGTAATTTCCAGAACACAATCAAATATTTAAACTATCATTTTTTTTCAAAGTCCTAAAAGAGCAATATTAAACTTTGATCAACTGGCTTTCTATTTCTACAATCATATGTCAATAGTGCCAATCAAAAACATATAATCAAGTATTAGATAAGGATGTTAAAATGCGGTTATCAAGCTAATCGTACAGTTGATACAATTTGTATCAACTATATGATTCATTGATAGGAGTGCTCTGCAGAGTTCAGCAGCCCCTGTTTGCAGGGGGGAGGGAGCCCACCTCCTTGCTGGGACCCCTGCGGAGAGGGACTGCTTTGCAGCACCCTCTCCTATCCCCCTCCCGCCCCCGCCTCTGACAGAGGCAGCAGGGGAGCACAGGACACACCCCGGAGACTGTGCTGGGGGAACCGGCTTTTAAGCCAGTTCCCCCAGCACCAGTTCCTGTCCCTCCACCTTACTGCTGTTTATAGAGACAGCAAGTGTGTGTGGGGGGGGAGGGGAGTCGCCACAGGGAGCCAGCGGGAACTCAAGCAGTACTCCACTCTGGTTCCTCCTGCAGCCACTTCAGCCTTTGAAATGTATAAAAGCCCAGTAAGGGCTCTTGTATATTTCAAAGGCTGAAGCGGCTGTAGTGGGAACAAGGGGGAGCAGGGGACTGCTTGAGTCCTCCACTCGCCCCGTGCTCCCTGAGGCGCCTTCTCCCCCACACTCCTGCAAAGCTTATGCTTATTGGATAGTCGACTAGTCGCTTACATCCCTAGTATTAGGATTCATATAGTTTTCAATAATCTAATAATTCAAGATTGTTGTATTTTCTTTAAGGAACAGTAAATAATAGTTATTTCTCCCACCTCATTTTAATCACTAATAAACTAATCCTAGGACAAATCCCAAATTCCTTACACTGTTTTTACTCAAAGATCTTCCACTGAAGCAAAGAACAGTTTTGCCCAAATATTAAAACTAAGAACTTCAAGATGTGTCCTATTACTGACAGAACAGGTTCACACACACTAACACAAAACAGAAGTATTTCTGAATGTATGGGTTTATCCGTTATTGGGTAAACTTTATATGACTGATGTGTTTGCAGAATAGATGAATAAAAGAAGCACTGAACTATACCATCAAATAAACAATAGCCAGTTTTTTTGTCAAAGCATCTCATCTTATAGTCTATATTTGTCTGAAATCAGTATAAAGTTTTTCCAATGTAACTACTTCTATACATTAACAAGAACTATATCAATAAAAGGAAAAACTAACCTTCTTAATATTTATTTGATGTTTTCTCAATCTTTCCAGATCCGTTGGAATTGCCACTTTAATGAACTTTTGGATGGCGGGTTCCAGACGACGAATATTAAGTTTTTCCTCATCTTCAGACATCCTAAAAATATTTTTCAAGTCAGAACTTGACCAATAAGCCTTTTACTCATCTAGAAACCCCAAGAAAGAAAAAGATATTTAGACTTAAGCAAGACTTCTTAATACTACTTGGTCTGAGTACAATTTAACTATGTTAAACTTTAAAAAACAAAAAGGTGTCAATATTTCCCGTAATTAAGGATGTTAAGTATCATGTAATTCACTAATTGAATGGTTGATGCATTTTTGCATCCACTATTCGATTAGTCGATAGGGTGGCACTGCCCCTTTTCAAAGGGGCAGGACCACACAGAGCCTGGGACCCCAGGCTACATGCAGCACTGATAAAGGCAGCAAGGAGGAGGAAGTGATTAGTCAACTATCCTGTCAGCTAGCCCTTATCATCCCTACCCATAATGCCCCCATATGAAAAACATAACTGATACAAATTAATCATTCAAAACCTAGATGATTCAGTAGCTGAAATTAACACCAGTGATCACAACAAAATTAAATAACTTATTCATGGGGAATATTTTCAATGGGCAATATTTTTAATCTGACAACAAAACAACTAAATGATTAGGGCATATATTTAAGTGCTTTGATGAATGGGGACAGACATAAGCACATACAGGTTTCACCTCTGAAAACCTGTACTCTCTGGTCCAGCAACATCCATGGTCTTGCCAGACCACAGATGCTCTGGACCAGAGAGCACCAGAACCTAATGGCAGGAGGGCCAGCAGCCCAGCCAGAGCCAGGGATAGCAGGGCCGGAAGAGCCCCAGAGCAGTGCTGGACCAGGGACCGGAGAATCCTGGCAGCATACAGCAATGCAGAGCCATGGACTGGGGAATTTTAGGCGAACGCAGCAGAGCTAGGTTGGAGGCTGGAGAAGCCCAGCTGCCCGCAGCAGCCTGAAGCGGTGCCGAGTCAGAGAACCCCAACAACCAGCAGCAGTGTGGGACAGGGGGCTGGAGAAACCCAGTTGCCCATGGCAGCTCAGGGCTGGGGAAATCTGGCCTCACACAGCAGCACGGGCCAGGGCTAGATAACCCCGACCACCAAAGGCAGCCTGGGGCCAGAGCCAGTGGTAGCAGAGCATGGGAGAGGGTAGAGAGAGCCAGAGACCAGCAGCGAGCTGGCTCGGGGAGGACACTTCCCATGATCCATCAAATTCTGTAGTTCGGGACCAGTCAGGTCCCAACCGTGCCAGACCAAGGAGATCCAACCTGTACTAAAGTTTAAATGCTGATTAAGTGATTTGCGGACTTGGAGCCCAAACTTTGCAATTTTAAATTCTCTAAACTTTGTACATATATTCCAGAAAAGACACTAGTACAAAATTAAGAATGAAAGCTCACTAAGACACACACACACAACAAATTAAAAAAAAAAAAAAATCAGGAAATCCTGAGTGAAGGTTCCCACGGCAAATGGACTCTACCTTCCTGTCAAAGTGATTAAAGCTGCAATTCCACAAAAACTAAGCATATTGTGTACGTTTTACATTTCTAAAGGACATGGGGTTAAGTAACCTGATTGCATCTTTGTTTAAATTGTACTTTGGGAGCTTTTTCAGTTCCCTCAGATGAAAATATGTAGAATTTTATATTGCTGCATACGAAAGCATGCATGTGCACAAGTACATACAACACGTTACTTATGATAAAAATTCCATCGTACTGTGGACAAAAAAAAGTCATGTGAAATTTTAAAAATAAAAACATCCCTTTATTCATGCAACATTAGCACTGTATTAATACAGTTTATTGAAATATGATTTTCTTTACTTTCCTCTTTAAAAAATCCAAATTGGACAGATCTATACTAGAAAATTTTGCTGACATAGCTATATTAGTAAAAGGGCTAGTGTTGACACAGATTACTGTGAAAGTGCTTCTAAATGAGGTGAGTTTTGCAGGTATAATTAAACTTCATTGGTATAGTTAAACTGGAACAAACCTCCTAATATGGAGTAGGCCTAGGATTGTAAATTTCTTGTTGAGTGGAAAAAAGTCTTGTGAACAGACCACTTTCTTCCCAAGCCTGTGGCAAGGGAAAAAGAGGGACTTCTCGTGGGGGAAATTCAAGTTTCCAGAGGGATAATAGTTGGAAACTAATGAAATTTCATGCCAGCATCCCCTGATTTATCAATGTTGAGTTACAAATCATTTTTTTAATGAAGAAAATACTAGCAAAGAGTATATTGTTTTCCTGAACAAAACAAAATCACACGGCAAGTAGATTTTTAAAAAAACAAGTAGGACAAGTTTTGAGCACAACCGCTTTGGAGGTTTCTCTTCAAATATTTCAAATCAGAAATCAATATTACTATTTGTTTACCTTTTTCTGTTTCACAATCTCCAAAGAAAGGTATTTTAGTTCATCATTTTTGTAACTATTTATGAGTCACTCCATTCCAAAATGCAGAGAGATAGACTAGTAATTTCTAAGATGCTCTTTTCTGTTCCAACAAATTCTGCACTTACATGTACAATTCCTCAAACAAATATGCATCAAAGGTCCTTCAGATTTTTCAAAATTTAAAATGAAAGTTTAATACTTCAACATATCCATTCCTTAAAGCCACAGAAAATTCTACCATTACTAAAGTTCACTTTGGCAAGTGGTTAAAAAAGTACTTCAGTCCTTTTATCTGGTTTTACTGGACTATCTCACATTAGAGAAGTCCTTACTTAACAGTTATTATGAAGACACCAGTTAGGTAAGACCCCAGTCAACACCCTAGTTAAGACAGAGTTCTATTTTGCATGTAAAAGCAGGAATTCAACTTTTTTTATTATGAATAAAGAATACTGTGCATCACTCCCAAAATTACAACTTATTCTTTGAGTACAGAATTTTCTTGAGCGTTTACAAGTAAATCCACTAATGAGTTTTAGTTAAAATTAAATTACAAATTTGCTCCTTTAAGAAATTTAGCATCTGTATCAGTCTTTTCTTTATCCTGAATTATCCTAATAACAGAGTGATACTTAAAAAGGTACATGTAGCAAACTTCCAGTCAAGTAAATCATACAGAAACAATACAACTGCATTCAAATTGGAGCAAAATTACCAAAATTCTTGGTAGCAGAAAGAAAACACTTAAGTACAGATTTTTTTTTAAAGTGTCTACACCAGGCATGGGCAAAATACAGCCCGAGGACTGGATCCGGCCCACCAAGCCACCAGATCTGGCAGTGGAGACTGTGGGGAGCCCCAGCTAGGCTCCCCTGCCTACCCCCACACACCACTCAACTACAGCTGCAGGGCACTTTCTCTTTAAAAACCAGAGGAGAGGGGGGAAGATTCAGATGCTGCTCCTGCCCCCAGCACAATCCCATTGGCCAGTTTCTGGGCAGAAACTGGCCAATGGGAGCTGCCTGTTTGAATAACAGGCAGTCAGGAAGCACAACCCCCCTTCCCTCCTGCTCAGTTACTCACTCAAGCATATGGCTGGGCAGGCAGAAACATTTTAAGTTCTGCAAGCCTTTAGCTCTGCAGGCAGGCAGGCGCAGCTGCTGGCTGCTAAGTCTCCTGGTCAGAGCCTGCCTCTGACACCCCAGCCCCTTCACTTCCCCAAACCTCTGCCCCCAGTCCTGCTCCGCTACTCCATATATCCAAACCCTCTGCCCCCCTCTTGCACCCATATCCCCTCCAAGATCTGTCACCCCAATCTCCTGCCCAAAATCACAATCCCCTCCTATCCTAGGTCATATCCCAAAACACTGCACAATAGTCCCCTGCCCTACATCACAACTTCCTCCTTCACCCAAACTCCCTCCTAGACTCCATTCTCCCTCCTGCACCCCAATCCCTTACCCCAAGCTCCCTTCTGCACCCAACCTCCATCCCAGACCCTGCACCTCCTCCATTAATGCCATGGAAGAGTGCTGCCCTTGACCACTTTCCAAATTCTTGGAGTGGCATCCCATCAAAAATTATTGCCCACCCTGGTGTACACTCAGGCCTTGCTTCATTCCACGGAAGAGTGATGCTGCCACAATCAATATTCTATAATTCAATTTACTGAGTCTAGTTAAGACTCGCTAAATCGAACTCAGAGGGCACCTCCATTGGCAGCTGGTATTCCTTCTCTTGCAAGGAGTAAGGGGAGCCAACGGAAGCATTTGCTCCCATCAGCCTCCCACTGTGGGGATGGCACCAAGCTCTGCTTAAGGTAAGTATCCTCCAGCTTCGTAGTCTATGTAGCTGGAGTTGCGCACCTTAAGCGGAGCTTCCAGATCTACTGAAGATCTGGCCTTAGTTCTGGTTTGATGCAAAACTCCACAGTTATTGATCCAGATGCATAAATGGCATAAGAAACAGAATTAGTGAGCAGAGTTTTTTGGGGTTTTTTTTTTTTTTGTTGTTCTCCAGTTTTTTGGTCAGAACAACTCCCAAACAAAAAAGCTGCCATGGAACACTACTGTACTCTTTGCTCACAAAAAATTATTCTCCTTTTCAGTAGCCCCATGCTGGCCTCAAACCTAAGAAAGCAAATTTAACACAAAGGGACAGTATTGATTTATAAGCCATGCTCTGTATGAAAAAGTTCCACCTACTAGTCTCACAAGTAATATTTAAGCAAAAAATAAAGAGCAGAATTCTCTTTTCAGTTAACACACACACTGCACCTTCTGAAGTTAATGGGAGGTGTTTAGTATTCAAAACTTTTGACAACCAAGCCACTTGTTTACATAGCTAAACATAGATTTTAGAAGTATAATTTTTAGATACCTATTTCTGAAAATCCTAGCCATAAATATTTTCTCTCCATGATGGTTTACGTGAGCCACACATTTTTTTATTCTGTTTAGTTTTCTTGACTTTCAGAGTACTCACAACATACAGAATACTATTTATTGATTTAGACCAAGTGTTTCTTTTGTATTAATGGAAATATACCAGGACACAAAATTCCCAATATCAAAAGTGTATTAATTGTTCTGAGAATATAACATAGGTTCCATTTATTCTATACAAGTAAGCTAAAACAAACAGAGATAAAAGAAAAAAATATTTTAAAACTCCATCAATCAGCACAGGAAATAATTCCCCACTCTACAGCATGGCCCAGGGAACATGGATCAGCATTCACTTTGCACTCTCCATCAGTACTAGCTAACGATCCAACC